AAACACCAGAAAAAAAAAAAAAAAAAAAAAAAAAAAAAAGATGAATTAACCTTTCTAGTGATTTTCAGTTGAACTACAAGATAATTTTGAAAGTCTTCCTGAGGAGAGGTTTTATTTGATTAGTAAAAGCTTGTTTTGTCCACATCAGTGTTGATCCAGGCTAAAGAAACATTTTTCTTAGCTGATTTCAGAACGGGACGTAGCTTGAATGTCTTATTCCAGACAACTCAGGGTTTGTTTCCGCAAAGAAAATCAGATGTGTAAGTAGAAAGCATGGCAGTGAAGTACTCTAGTGAGTGACTTCCTCCCCGGTGGTCGTTGTGTGAGACTGACAGTGACAGGCATTTCTGGAGCTCTCTTGGTCCAGAGCTGAGGAGAGCTGGGAATTACAGGGATGGGAGGGTGGCTGTTGGGCTCAACCCCATGGCAGCTCATGGGTCAGCGCGCTGCCTGCTTTGTAAACATTGTGCCCATTAATGTATCTGTTAGGCCACCACAACAAAAAAGTCCTGTGGACAGAAACTTTATGGTTCCAAAAGCCAAAACTGTTTACTTCTCGGCCTTTATAGAAGAAGTTAAGTCTTAGTCTAGTGTTCTTACCCATGCTCCTATTTGATAAAAGTACTTTACCCTTCGTGGTATTTGAAAAATATTGCTGAATTACTATGATTTAAAAATCCATTTTATCAGTGACATGCACTTGTTTTGACAGTCATTGTCCTTAACAACTCATGGTTGTAACTAATAAGCGAAAAGAATAATTTGCTTAGTGGCAAACTGTCACAGGCTTCATTCTAATGCTTTGGCTAAATGACAGGACGACTCTTCCAAAGACATGTTATTATTAACCATAATATTAAAATTTGTGAGTTTCTTCCCTCCTTTTCCAATTGCCATCCACTTAAATTGAGTTGGGGGTGGGACAGGGAAAAGCAAGCTTTTTGGAAAGACATAGTGGTCGATCCTGGGATACAGTGGTAGGTTAAGGAGTGACGTTCTGTTTGTAGTTTCTGTTACACAATTAATGGGATTGGTTGCTATTTAGCAAATACTTTATTACATAATAGGTTCCTGAGCAAGGGATTGGTTAGCAGGTGCTTCTGTTTAATAACTATCAATTAAAATTAGATAAATTACAACTTTTAAAAGGACTATTTTAATAATTACCAGGAATATCTTGATTTTTTGTTTTTGCTTTTGGAGGTCCTGGGGATTGAGCCCAGGGACTCATACATACCGGGCAAGCACTCAGCCCCTGAACCACACCAATTACAAATCAGGAATCTTAAAAGTTAATTTTATATTGGGGATTTCATTTATTTTCTTTTGATATGTATATGTTTTTGTTTTAATGTTTTCACTTACAAATATTTCTTATCTTTAGGAAGATGAACAAGCAAGAACAGACTACTTCATTAGGACACTGTTACTTGAATTTCAAAATGTAAGTACTTTCTATTAGACACTCTAGGAATAGTTTTCCAAGAGAAGATAAATAAATAATATTCTATCTTCTGTAATTAAGAAAATTTATGAATTGTTTTGGTTAGGTAAAATAATGAAATTTAAAGTATAGTGTTTTATTCAGTACATGAACCTTATGCTTACCAAATTAATACAATAATGATAAATTATAAAGTATTTAGAGAAATGTTCCCTGAGTTAAATTTGTTGCATTGGCATAATTATGCTTTCTTGTTACAAATGATTTTCCTCTGTTGCAGCAAGCAGATTTTAGTATTATTTACATAATTTTTACCCACATGTACTAGTTTATAATATTTTAGAATGACACAAGACACCTTCAGAGTTATTTAAAAAATGATAATTTCCTTGGATGAAATCAAAGAAAAAAATCTGTTGGACATTAGAAAAATGCCCACCAGCTTTCTCATCTCCTTTATTATTATCTTAATTTTTAAACCATTATAAATAGCATCATGAATTATATTCTCCCATCTCATGCCTTTGTAAACATACCTAAAACCCCTCCTGCCTTCCTGTTTGTAAGCAGACAGTCCAAGTACTCCCCGGCCCTGACTTTATCATATCCTTTAGCTGAGTGAGTTCATGTGCTTTGGGTGGTGTTTTTCGTCTTTTAGTACCTTACTGAACTTCTCTAGGGCATCCGGCAAACCAATCCTCCTTACTTCACAAGAGCAGGTAGTGTCCTGCGTCCCAGAGAAGAGTACAGAGGCTTTGTGAAGCTCAGTGGCTCACCTGCTGTCACTCAGGAAATGGCTTACATAGAATTTGCAGAGTTTTGCCCAGAGTCTAACTCCTTTTGCACCTAAATAACAGTTCTCAAATCATTTTGCAATATCAGTACTCCTTTATACTCTTAAAAATTATTCAGGCTCTAAGAGAGCTTCTATTTGTTATATCTTTTAATATTTACTATAATTGAAATTAATACTGAGAAAATCTTTAAAGACATGAATATACCAACATATATTCTACTAGCCTTTTAAAGGAAAAAGCATATAATACCTCAGTATTACTCTGAAAATGCTGAAAGCTCAGATTCCCCCACTCTCACCCCAAAGGGTTGAGAAGTCGGAAGATGTCAAGACCATAGTTGGAGGGCTGGTCTATAATAATACAAGTGGCTTGAGGATGGACACATTCATTTTTAAGTTCTCCTTTACTTTCATATTCTATTGATCTGGGTAATAGTGTGGGTTACTTAGTGTATATACTATAATGGTTAATGCACACGTTTGAGAGGTCTAAGACTCCTGAGTTTGATTCCACATGTGTCATTTCCCATGGATCTTTACACGGGTTATTTAATCTTTCTGTCTCAATTTCTTTACCCTTCTCCTCCGACCCCATAACTGGGGATTGAACTCAGGACCTTGCGCTTGTGAGGCAGGCACCATGCCACTGAGCTAAATTCCCGGTGTCAGTTTCCTCAGCCATACTACCTTCCTCGGGGATATTAAATAAACTGGTACATGTGGATCCATTGGCATCAGTACTTAGCATGTGATAAGCAATTTAAAGCTACAAGGTGTCATTTATTTGCATTTTTCTTTTTAAGGTATGCTAAACACATCACAAATATATTGGAAATGACAATTAAATGAAATGTAGTTTTTAAATTTGCAAATCTAGCCAGACATGGTGGTGCACGCCTGTAATCCCAGCACTCGAGAGCCTGAGGCAGGAAGATCACCAAGAATCTGAGGCCAGCCTGGTCTATATAGTGAGTTCAAGGCCAGCCTGAACTATGCAGCAAGACCCTGTCTCAAAAAAAAAAATAAATAAATTTACAAATGTATTTTCATTGTTACTGAATTTATTTATATTTTTTATGAAGGAATCTCGTAGGTTGTATCAGTTTCATTATGTGAACTGGCCAGACCATGATGTCCCGTCATCATTTGATTCCATCCTGGATATGATAAGCTTAATGAGGAAATACCAAGAGCATGAAGATGTGCCGATTTGTATTCACTGCAGGTACAAAGACGCTTTCTTTGTGTATGAATACAGTATTTTGAGTATGATATTAATTCAGTAAATTTTTATTTCTGCATTAATAAGATGATAGCAACCCTGAACTTCTAGCTTTGTTGCAGTATATTTAAGACTGAAGCCTTAAGTTGACGTCATCGAATCTGATTGACAGACTGTAAATGTTATGTTAGAGCATCATTTATTTCAGAATGGTGGTCACATGGTGGAAGGCTATAGTTAGCATATACTGTAGACTTCATTCTTCCCTCTACCTTTTTAAGTCAGCATGATAATATTCTTTATATTAATGACATTTTCAACATTTTTGTTTTTGTTTGTTTTGTTTTTGTTTTTCTGTCTTGGTACTGGGGATCAAACTCAGGCCCTTGCTGCTTGCAAGGCAGGTGCCAGAACCACTGAGCTAAATCCTCACCCCGTTTTTGTTTTTGTTTTGGTACTGGGGCTTGAACTCAGAACCTTGCAGAACCACTGAGCTAAATCTCCAGCCCCTCTGTATTAATACAAAAACAAACACATAGAAACATTTTTATGTGGATAGAAATTTTAAGAATCAAACATGATGAACAAAACTACTAAGTTTTTTCCTAAGGTAATTAAAGCTTGCATTAGAGAATAAAATGAAATTATTAATTTTTCAACTCAATTTCCCTGATTAAATAAATGGTGAAGCAATTTTTTAATGACATTGACATTATATCATGGATGTCAGGTTTTTAAAAATGTATTTAAAAATACATAGGGTCTTACTGATCTAAGACACCCCGGGCTTTCAGACACACTTATTTTATGTGCATTAAAATGAGAAATTATTACCATTTTCAAGGGAAAGAGTTTGTTTGACAAGCCTTTGATGCAAGACTAATTTCAAAGCTGTTACAATGTAGATTCTTCATCAGTTCTGTGATAAGAACTCCAATGCTGTTTCCATTCCTGAAGAACATGTTTGTAATACTTCCTATCATGTTATGAAATTGTATTTTCTGGCTACTGAAATCTAGATAGAGCAGGAGGAAGCTATCATTCTTAGAGCTAGGTAATATAAACTACTGATACACATTTAATAAAGACATCATTATTAAATTTTGCAATTATGACAAGATTACCTTATTATAAGGATTACCTGAGACAGAATAATTAGATGGGGTCTTGCTGTACTGTTCTGGACTTGCCTTAAACTCACTGTGTAGCCCAGGCTGGCCTTGAACTCATGGCAGTCCTCCTGCCTCAATCTCCTGAGTGCTGGGATTACAGGAGTGTGCCACCATGCCCAGCACTGGCTTCCTTTCCAAAGCAGTGTGTGTGTGTGTATACTCTGTATTACTCCATAGAAATCATTTCATTGATTCACTTAATGTTTGCAGTTCAGTTTTTCTTTGAAATTAGTCAGAAATTATGTAAAACCCAGCCTTTGACTTTGGGAATATGAATCTGAGACTATTGGGGGCAGGTAGTATAGCTAATTATATATTCTTGGAGTGGAGAGAATGGAGGTTAATTCTGTTACATGTTTTATCTAAGAGGAGTCAGTCTAAGATACCCAACTGTACTTAATGAGTATTTTGGGTTATTTCTGTTACCTGGTTATTTTTCTGACACATAAGCCACTTGATCCTGCTTATAATGAAAAGCAAGCAAGTGCTCCAGTTGAGAGGAAAAAGCTTTTGCCTTTCTCTTTCCTGTTTTTTAGGTCAGGGAAATTGAGAATGAGTGTCGTGGCTGATAGATCGTAACACCAGCGTGATCTTGGATCTTTAGATGTTGCCTGTCTTAGCTGACAACACCTCTACTCCAGGGGGCCTCCAGATTATGACCTGTAACAGTTCAAAAATAGAATTCAGGGCTGGGGATTTAGCTCAGTGGTTCCACCCCTGCCTTGCAAGTTCAATCCCCATACCAAAAACAAACAAAAGAAATGCAAAGGTAGAACTCATTGTTGCTGTCTTTTTAGAAAGTTTAAAAAAGGGAGGGCTGGGGATTTAGCTCAGTGGCACAATGCCTGCCTTGCTTGCAAGCACAAAGTTTAAGCTGGATCCCCAGTTACCCCCCCGCAAAGTTTATGGCTTCATTTGGATTGCTTTTTTCCTCAAAGAACTCAATAAGGAAATGTATCTCATTTCAGTATACTAAACAAAAATACAGTAGCCAAACTGACTTCACTTTTTAATTATTTATTTATTTAGGTACTGGGTATCAAACTCCAGACCTTGCACTTGCAAGATGGGTGGAAAAACCACTGAGCTAAATCCCTGGCCCTAACTTCACTTTTTTAAAGCTAAACTTATTCTTTTAAAAAAGGAAAAGCAGGCCAGGGATTTAGCTCATTCTGCTGCCTGTCTTGCAGCACAAGGTCCCAAATTCCATCCACACACAAACACACACACACACAATTAGTTGTGAAAATATTAAATGTTTGCTATAGCTTTAGAATGTGTCATTATAATATGTATAATGTAGGCTATTTTGCAACCTAATGTTGGGAATTTTATGAGATGATTCATTGTATGAGCTTCTAAATAATAAAAGCTACCTGAATCCTGAGGCAGTTTTTCTACTCTTCAATTTTTGATTTATATTACTTTTTTCTAAACACCTTACAATCATTGTACTTAGACTATAAACTTCTATCACTTTATCCTTCAAGGTTATTTATACCTACGGTCACATTTGTTGCAAAAACTAAATGAAATTTTGAGACTGAGAAATTTACTGATTATTAAATAGTTGAATTTTTTCTTTAAATAGAGGTGAGCTCTAACTTGGGACCCTCTTGTCTCAGCCCCTCTAGGGGTTGTCTAATATTTTTAGACCACCAAAATGGTATGTTAACTACAATGACTTAGAAAGCACATGCACCAAAAAAAGAAATTATTTTTCCACAAGTGATGACCATTGTTAAAACTTTAGGATATACCCTTTCATTGTACAGATATGTGTATTGCATTTTTTTAAAGAATATTTCTGCATTTTCTGTAGTAAGACTGCACTACTTTATATTTAACCTGTACTCTTTGCTTCTAATTTTGGCTGTTTTAAACAGCAGTTTATTTACTCTAATCTTTTATATGACTGATGTTTACTGTTAAGAGCTTCTAAAAATTATATTAGGTTGCTTATAAATATTGCTTGTCAAGGGTTATTAGATTACATGTTTTGTTTTGTTTTTTTCCTGGTACTGGGGATGGAAGTCAGGACCTTGTGCTTGGCAGGCAGGCATGGCACCACTGAGCCATATCCCTGGCCCTAGATTACATGTTTAACGGATTACTGATAGTAATAACAGTTTCAAAATATGCCCTAAAATACAGCCTTTTCTGCCTAAAAATAATTCCGGTGATGTCTGTAGCATCTTTTCATTCCTCACCGATTTTCATTGCCTCCTTTGCTTGAGTAGTAAGTGCTTTACAGTACTGTTGTCATTTATCTAAAGGTGGGACCTGTGTGTATTTTTACTTTACGTTCTCTACCTCCCCACAGTTTTTCAGAAACAAAAGCCACCTTCTTTATCTTTACTCTTTGGGCGAAGCGCTGCTGGTGCTCACACTAGCACTGGCGGTGTGTGGCATTCTCCATCTTCCCTCCTGTTAAAGTGATGGCTGTTTGCTGCCCGAAACGCAAATTTATCCCAAACACAAAATATTTGTCTCTGTAGCATCTTGTTATAGATGACAACATCTGTAGCTGTCAAGATGTCAGCTCTGCAAGTTTCCCGAGGTAGAATTAGACTTCCAAAGTAAGGCCTCAGAAATATTCTCTGAGCCATTCATAGACTTTTAAGTTGAAATTTAAAAAGTACAAGCACCGATGATAAGGATGATGTCATGATGCATGTTATGTTGTGATTTGTTTACTAACTGAGTAGAATATTTTTGTTTGTTAAATAATTTTTTGTTACTGAATTAATTTAACATGTCTGTCCATTTTTATTTTATGAATATTTTGTCACAAAAATCAAATTGTTCTCTCAAACTTTCTACCCTTAGTGCAGGCTGTGGAAGAACAGGTGCCATTTGTGCCATCGATTATACCTGGAATTTACTAAAAGCTGGGGTAAGAATAATTCTCATGTAGCATTATGTCTAACCGAGCTATTAGAATTTCAGACTTAATTGCACAGAATGATATCATGCATTTTGTTACACATGTTACTGTTTCAGAATTAGTTTTACCATGTAAGAAATAGACTTGAAAAGGTAGCTGGGCATGGCTGCGCACACCTGTAATCTGAGCATGCAGGAAGCTGAGACAGGAGGATTGTTGCAAGTTCAAGGCCAGCCTGAACTACATAGCAAAACCCTGTCTCAAAAATACACACACACACACACACACACACACACACGTGTGTGTGTGTGTGTGTGTGTGTGTGTGTGTGTGTGTGTATAAAATAAGAACCAGAACCTGTCATGTAAAGGTACAAGATCCCAATGATGAATGTAACTGTACTGTATACCTAAAATGTACCGATAAACTTAACAGGGAAAAAAGCCATATAAATAGAAAAGGTGGGAATGTCTTCAATTCATTCTCTTGAGCCTGCTGTACTGGACAGTGTGCTGTTCTGGGGGAATGATGTGAACCCGGGCCTTTTATATTTATTCTAGGTTTAAGTGTAGTACAGTCAGCAAACATTTATTCCTGCTGGAGATATTACAGTGCAGTGGTTACAAATGCTGACTGTGAGGCCAGACTGCGTAGATTAAAGTTGTAGCTCATCATTTACCATCTGTGGGGCTTCACTTCATTATTAGTTTGCATTACTGTTGCTGTTCAGGTTGGTGTTTCTACAACCAGTGTTTTCAGTAAATTGTGTTTGATATGGTAGAAGATCCCCAGATAAATTGGCACAGCTCTCGTTTTATTGCAGATTTGAGGAGCATGGGTTTCTTCATTGTATGATTCCATAATACATTGATTTTCTATGCATTAGGGATACTCATTTAATTTTTTTTTTTTTTTTTT